ATCTCCAGCAGTCCCTTCCAAACCCTACGTTTCTGTGATTCTGCAATCAAAAACATGCAAGTAATGCTTTTCAGTAATATTACAGTTCATCTGCTGTAACTCCAATGGCACATATGTGCATCAAATATGTTACTGGATATTTGTCAGTGTAAATGCAATTAATGCAAGATCAGCTCAAATATTTTGGGGAATGACTGATAACATTCATACTTCAGCTAAACATGTAACAGGTGGGGAGAGTTGGAGGGTTTGAACAGAATGGAGCATGAGATGTTGTCTATGGTGTTAAAATATGGAGCCTGGAAGCTTCAGTAGGTTGTTTTGGATTTGCTCTCCACCAAGGCTTAACAGCAGTGACAGGGATGTTAAGAATGAAGTATGGAATAAGATACAATAACAACCTCAAAGCTATATTCATGAAGGCAAATACATCTACAGCCCTATCCTTCTTACCTGCCTAGGTAATCAAGAGACTTTTAGTAAGAAATATTTACTGCCTCTGAAATCAGTAGTGCTGCACGTAACTACATCATCAGATTGTACCTGTTGTATGTCCCTTACATTCATTATTTGGACCTTATTTGTTTTGCATATAAAGAATAGAGAATTGGATTGGACCATTTGAGTCATTGACTTTTCTGTTTGTAATTGCATGAGAAGTGTATACCAGAAGAGTTTTAGAAACATTCCTTCATCAAAAGAGGGCAAGGGTGGCCCCTCTCTGTTTGTGTGGGCCCAATGGAAGTACTGTGCCCAGGCCTAGAGCTCCCAGCACAAGAAAGACATGAAACTTTGGAAAGGGACCAGAGAAGGACCACAAAGATGATCAGAAAAATGGAGCACCACCTTTATGAAGTAAGGTTGAGGGAGTTGGGCTTATGCAGTTTGGAGAAGGCTTTGGGGAGACCTCATTGCATCCTTCCAATACTTATGGGGATATTATGAACAGGAGGGAGACCAACTTTTTACGTGATCTGATAGTGATAGTGCTAGGGATAATGTTTTTTTTTTTTTTTTTACTAAACGAGAGGGGATTTAGATTAGACATAAGGGGAAAATTTTCAGTCAGAGGGTGATGAGGCACTGGAACAGGCTGCCCAAAGAAATTGTGAATGCCCTATCTCTGGAGATGTTTGAGGCTAGGCTGAATGGTGACCCTGGGCAGTCTGATTCAGTGGGTTCAAACTGCCCATGGCAGGTGGGTTGGAACTATATGGTCTTTAATTTCCCTCCCAACGTAAGACATTCTACAAATTCATGATTCCAACGTTACAAGCTTGTCACCATATGTTGCAAGGCATCCCTAGAAAATGATGTTAAGATTAAGAAGCTAACATTTCTGGAACAACAGGATCGCAGCTACAGCTGTGATAACTAGAAAAGTGCTCCTGAATTACTGAAAAGTGGGAACTGAAAGAAGTCTGAAAGGATTCTGCATGTAATCCAAATCTGTTTGTGAGAGGAAAAAAACAATTTATTTAATATCAGTTTCCACTATATTAAATATGTACTGGTGGAAGTGTCCTCTAGGAACTTCTCCTTAGCAAGTCAGCAAACTTTCTCTTGAAAGTGCTTTCAAAGCTTATTATGCACTGATTTTATAGAAAGGATTGTTGGAAAGGGAAATCCAAAGGATAACAGCCAAGTTTGTTCTCTGTAATGCTTCTTAAAGTCAACCCTTGGCCCCCCAGAATTCAATATTTGTGTTAATTCATGAGATTTCTGGAAGAAATGATTACTAATTCACTATCTTTTCCATTCTTAGATGTCTATCTGCTATAAGGAAAAAAAAAATTACTCTCTGTACTCTGACTTCACCTTCATTAGTGCATACTGACATTTTCATTCCTCAAATCTCCTAAAAGTTCTTGATACATACTGCTACTTTTCAGAGTGACAAAGAAGGTGAATGTACAATTAAGACATTTTGAAAAGGCAATAAAATTTACTTGGCAGTTTACTTTAGCTGTATGTACTCTTTATTACTCTGAACTTGCATATTGTCAAGAAGGAAGATTTCACATATGCAGCAGATAATACAATGCCAACTGAAATTGCAGGGAAAAGCTTGTGAAATTTCTGTTGGATTAACTCTTTACCAAGAGCAGGATAAGAAGGATTTTCTTATGTTGACTAAGCATTTCTTCCAAACCACTGATTATCCACTCTTTATGATTCTTCTCTCAGCAAAGGTCTAAAAAGTAAATTCAAAGGAAGAAATGATTCAAATATCAAATTCTGAAAATACCAAAATAAAAAAAAAATGAGACATCACTTCCCAGCCTGGATGGATCTGAAATGATGTTGTTTAGATGTGCTAAATATTGGAAGTCGTTTTTTAATTCATCCAAGTTTGAAGATGTATCTGAAAACCGCTACCATGAACACAGTTCCCAGTAAAATCCAGTGAGAAAGTTTGGGTAAGTATGGTCTGACTTGAGAGCTGTGAAGGAGACAGCACTTTTCTTTATCTTCATGGCACTCTTATTTTCAGAACTTGTAAATAGCCAAAGATTTAATTTATTCTGTGCTATAGTAAACATCCTGTATGCATGGCACTTCCAGTTCCTTCTGAAGCCTTTGCTAAGCTTTTATATGTGCTACTTTATATAACTCCAAGATAAGCCTTTTGAAGACATATAATAGAGGATGAAGTATGGTAGTAGCATGAGTCAGCTACAGTGATGTATTTGAAGAAAAGATTTGTTGACAACCAGAACAAATGGTCACATCAGTCTTGGCATTTTATATCAGCTTGATGGCATTTAGTTCCAAAGCCTTAGCAATTGGGCAAGGGCAAATATATTGGTTGTCATGACCACCATCTCAGGCAATGTTGATTGTTTCCTGTCAGATATTGGTAGAGCAGCAAGAGGCTATATTATTATCATTAATTTTAATAGCATTCCATATTTTAGTGCACTTTATGCAGAGAAATAGAGAGGATTGTGTGTTGAGCTCACTTCTACTTTTGTCAAAACCTGTGTAGAAAATGAGGGTGGCTTTGGAGATTGACACACAATTAAAGAGGAAATGGAATGTGAGGGAATACACCAAATGTGTCATCTCAGGGAAAGAAGGAAGGGCAGGAAAGAAGAGAACAACAGTTTTGCTTTCCAACGAGTGGCTTATTGATATTGGAACGGTTTATTTCTGTTGCTTCTATACTTGTACAAAAGCAGGGCAGAGAACAGCAGAAAAAATGTGTTAAAAGAAATACTTGTTGAGGGGAGAGTGGGTAATTCTGATTTTGTAAGTAATCAGGATGAGTGGTGGAGGAAGTAGGGGCAGAGAAGGAGGAGAGAGGGGATTAATTCATTTGGTCCTTCAGCTGCTTGAATCAATGCAGTAAGGGAGGTTTGTAGGCTGACAACTAGACACAAAGATTTTGAACTAATTCTGTGCTCCCCTACACATCAAAGCAAATACTTTCTTTTCAGAAAATGGCATTTGTATGGAGATTTTTCTACTTTGCATATTGTTAAATAAATCACTGGTACATACTGAGATATCATGGTGGGATAACTAGTAATTGCCAGAGGTCTTCTGAAGGTTGTTATGAAACTAGAATTCTATTATTATTGTACACTAAATATTTATAATATGTATTGCATATTATTATTAATACATGTATTCTAGATTATATTTGTAATGATGCTTGGATTTTGGACACATTCTCTCTGTTCTCTCAGTTGTTGTGCCTTACACAGGTTTTCAGGAAAGGAGTTCACCTGCTCAGGAGGCAAGTTCTCTGGCAAGTAGTCTGCTATGGAAAAGATGTACAGTACTACTATCATCTACATCTTCTGCCTTTTAACACCGTATACTATCATTCCTTAAGGATTCAACAGGCAATGGGTGACCTTAGCTCTAGATCCAGCAATATTTTAATCCAGTGCTCTGTGTTAACTGCTCACAGTTAAGAACTGCCTGATTTTGTTTGCTGACTGAGGGGAAATTTATTTATTCCCAGTAATGAGAAATTAGTTCAAACTTTCAACTTATTTTTGGGTTCTACATTATTAAGTTGGGCGCAGTTGTTCTACTGGATCTGTCCATACAGTTTAGAGAGGATGACTATTTAAGAAAAAAGTTATGTGAGATATTCAGGGGCTTTGAAGTTAAAGGAAGAATGTTCAGGCATAAGTAGAGATGCAGAAGTTTGTAAAATGAAAGAAAACGTTATTTCCACTGAAGAGTTTGTCTGTAAATAGCCTATTTAATCCTAGACCACCAAAATCTTTGTTATCCACTCTCTAACCAGGCCTACTTTAGGCTCAAAAGCCACTAATGCATGCTTGTGAAGGGACTGAATGAACATTGCTTTATGTATTCTAATATCTTGCTTCCTATTCTTTTCCTTAAAAACGGAGAGCTCTTTTCTTTCTCTTTCTTGTCAGTGACGCACTTCTGTTGAAAGAGAACATTTATATTCCTGCATTTCTATTTTGCCACACCTATAAAACATTAAAAAGGCACTAAGGAGGGGGGATGTCCTTAAATTTCATTTTAATGAAACCTACTGGTTTTCCTCTCTCTTCCCACTCCAAATAGTATCTATACCCTCTCACAACCTTGTTTACCTTTTCTGACAAATATTCTCTTTGCCAGTCATCTTCTATTTAACTGTCTCTTTTTTCAGTTCTAACGGAAAGTCAGACGGTTATGTGGAGATCATTAAATCCATTCCTCCTTATGTTCCCCCCCCTCCATTTCTTTAACATGAAGAGAACTTTGCAGAAGGCTCTGGAAAAAGCATCAAAACTTCAACTCATTTATTTTCTTGTTTATAAAAGTTGAAATAAAAAGAATACATTATATAGAGTAACTTAAAAAGATCTTAATGATAATGGAATATATACAGACATTTTCCCCTCCTGACTTTCTTTTAAGAATCTGTAGTCTGTGGACTTGAAGGATGCCATGATAAATGTTTACTATCTTTGTTGGTTTTTTTTTTTTTCTCTTTAATTTTATACATTTTTTGCAACTGTGAAATTTCTCTGTCTTCGGTTTCAGAGGCATCTTGAGAATCAGTATAACACATTGTTGACTTTCTGCCTGCTCTTAAAAATTCTGATCTCTATGTATTTTTTTTCTGCACTACTGATAATTTTTTAAGTGACTGAACGTGAAGCACTGTAACAAGTCATGCTTGAAAATAGATAAAGTAATCTAAAATTATGCCTTTGTTTACTTTTCATGCTCTCTTTTCTTTTGTTTCCTTAATTAGAGTCTTTTTCTAGAATTCTGTTCACTAATATAATTATACATATAGGGCAGGCAAACTTAATTATCTTACCATGGACTGCTGTGGGCCCCTCTTTGAGGGCTCTGGCATCTCAGCTCATATTTTCTCCAACATCAACTGAAAGCACAAGCTGTCATCTAAGACTGCAGCCCAACATTCTATGCAGCTTAATAGCTCTACTGACTGTTCATGTTATTTGAGCTGCATTTAAAACCTGATCTTGCTTTCACCAGGAAAATGATAGGAAAATCTAATGAAATTGAAGTACTTGGAGGTGTAAATGTAAACACATATGGAATGATATGCAGAACTAGTAAATTGTACAAGGGGAGGTTTTGAAATATCTATCTGATTGCTTGCTCTTGGTGTCTGCTCCTTTCCTCAGGAACTATTTAAAGCATTAGCACTATAATATATACTGTTGCAGGTTGAATGTCCTTCATGAAAGTGTAGTTTCTCTAAAATCACATTAAACCTGAACGTTTTGGAACAGGTGTTTGCCTCATAGCTGTTTGGATCTGTTTTTGAAATACATTTCCCTAGTTTATATAACTGAAACACGGATTTAAAATTAATTTTAGTGCATATAAGACAAGTAGTCCTAATGCTTGATCTCTTTTCTGATCCAAGGGAAGGATTGTCTGCACCCTCTCTCCAGTATGACCTTCAAGTCTGTCCTTGTTGAAGAAAGGACACGTTACCACAGTGAGTTTAGGTTTTGATGAAGTAGCATTTTCCATTTCTCGGGAGTTTTCAGACGGACACCATAGGATGTGCATTCCTCATGTTATTCACTAGTGGTGTGAGCTACTACACAAGGAATGCAGTGTGAGGTAGAGTTGTCTCAGATTTTTTCCTGGCAACATTAGTATTCACTTTCAGCCCGACTATGTCAGCTTTTGCTTCTGAGTCATCAACACATATAAAAGTCTTCCCATAGAAATTTGTAGGCTTGGGCAATATTTATTTTCCGCAAACCTTTATTTCTCCTTTCTCTCTTTTCCAGAAATGATTTGAATATAAATGAATGCCATGCTATTCTGAAGACTTTGCCATAGGTCTGTATGTTTATTTCTATTTGTCTTGTCCTAAAAAATATTTGATTTTCAACTTTTTTTTTTTTTTTTAAATTTTGTTTGTTTTTAGACATAAATCCATTCAGTGAAGACAGAATTCATTAACAACTCAGGTATTTTGTTGTTATTGAGGAACTTGCCCCTCACATGGTTTTTACCCTTAAGTTAAGTGCTAGGATAGTAGATCAAGTGTGTCAAGACAACATAAGTGGCAATGGAGCCCTACTTTTATTCTTGTGCATGCACTTCTGCAGTGTACCTGCTGAATGCAGCACCATCAAACAAGAATATTGCAATAGTCCTTTCTACTCGTAATGCAGTTTCTTATTACTGGTTAGGGATGATCTTACAGAATTTTAAACTCCACATCCTTAACCCCAGAGTTTCCAAGAAAAGAAAATGCAATGGAGAGCAGCTGAAATTGTATGTGCTACAGATCACCTCTCTGTATTGGAGCCATTGTGATTCTTCCAAAAGCTTTTAGTCAAAAGGTTAAAGAAGGTAAGAATGTTTCTGTCTTCATCTTGCCATAAAGGCCTGTTACACTTCCTTTTTCTTTGCTCTCTGAAGGAAAAAGAAAAATATTTTTTTTCCTGAAATGTTTTTCCTGTTCTTCCAAGCTTTAATTTCTGAGGATAAATGATAAATGAAGAATTCACTGCTACGTTCTTTAAAGAAGTTTTGAATTTTATGTGATGTATTTACTTTTAACTGTAAATCTAATTAAAATTTTCTGCCATATATAAGAGCAAAATACTCAACTGTATTTTCAGAAATAGAGTAAGGTACACGTAAAGGACTTCTGACAGTCACTTTTTCTCTACATCAGTAGTGCTACACCTCCTAAAAGCCTGCCTTTTTGTATTAGAGAAGGCGGAATACAGTTTCTTAGGAGCTATTGTAGGCATGAGGAGGGTCTAAATGCACTTTATTTTGGGAAAAAATACTTCACTCATTGGAATAAAAAGAAGCTTGGATGGCTAAGCATACTGGTGACCAAGTGCCATGTTAGACTATACTGAATTCTTCATAGAATCATAGAATCACAAGGTTGGAAACAACCTATAAGATCACCTAGTCCAACTGTCTTCTCATTACCATTGCTACCACAAGCACTAAACCATATCTCGCAGCTCCTCGTCCAGGCACCTCTTGAACACTGCCAGGGATGGCGACTCCACCACCTCCCTGGGCAGCCATTCCAGTGCCTGACCACTCTCTGAGAGAAAAAGTTTTTCCTCATGTCTAACCTAAACCTCCTCTGGTACAACTTGCGGCCATTTCCTCAGGTCCTGTTTGTTGCCTGGGAGAAGAGGCCAAACCCCTCCTCATCACAACCTCCCTTCAGGAAGTTGTAGAGTGCAATGAGGTCTCCCCTGAGCTCCTCTTCTCCAGACTAAACAATCCCAGCTCCCTCAGCCGCTCTTCGTAAGATCTGTGCTCCAGACTCCTCACCAGTTTCATTGCCCTTCTCTGGACACGCTCCAGGGCCTCAACGTCTTTCCTGTAGTGAGGGGCCCAAAACTGAACACAGTACTTGAGGTGCGGCCTCACCAGTGCTGAGTACAGGGGGATGATCACCTCCCTGCTCCTGCTGGCCACACTATTTCTAATGCAGGCCAGGATGCCATTGGCCCTCTTGGCCACCTGGGCACACTGCTGGCTTATGTTCAGCTGAGCATCAACCAACACCCCCAGGTCCCTTTCCTCTTCACAGTCATCCAACCACTCGTCCCCAAGCTTGTAGTGCTGCATGGGATTGCTGTAGCCAAAGTGCAGGACCCGACACTTGGCCTTGTTGAACCTCATCCCATTCACCTCAGCCCTAGATCGCTCTGAAGGGCCTCCCTACCCTCAGGAAGAACAACACCACCTCCCAGCTTGGTGTCATCTGCAAACGTACTGAGGGTACACTCAATCCCCTCATCTAGGTCATCAATAAAGATATTAAACAAGATAGGCCCCAGTACTAACCCCTGGGGGACACCACTTGAAACAGTTCGCCAGCTGGACTTCACTCCATTAACCACTATCTGTTGGGCACGGCCCTCTAGCCAGTTTCTTACCCAAGGAAGAATATACCTGTCCAGGCCACGGGCAGCCAGTTTCCCCAGAAGAATCCTGTGAGAGACCGTGTCAAAGGCTTTGCTGAAGTCTAGGTAGACTACATAACAGCCTTTCCCTCATCTACCAGTCTGGTCACCCTGAAGTAGAAGGAGATGAGGTTGGTCAAGCACGACCTGCCTTTCATGAACCCATGCTGGCTGGGCCTGATCCCCTGGATGCCATGCACGTGCCGTGTGATCTCACCCAAGATGATTTGCTCCATAACTTTCCCTGGTACTGAGGTCAGGCTAACAGGCTTATAGTTCCCTGGATCCTCCTTACGGCCCTTCTTGAAGATGGGAGTCACATCAGCAAGCCTCCAATCTTCTGGGACCTTTCCATTTAACCAGGAGCGCTGATAGATGGCTGAGAGCGGCTCAGCAATCACCCCCGCCAGCTCCCTCAGCACCCAAGAGTGTAGCCCATCTGGTCCCATGGACTTGTGACAGTCCAGATGGAGGAGGAGCTCTTGACTGTCTCCACCTGAATTGCTGGGGGTATATTCTGGGTAACGTCCCAGACTTCCAGATCAGGGCATAAAATGTCCAGAGGATAACTGATCTGGCTATTAAAGGCTGATGTAAAGAAGGCATTGAGGACCTCAGCCTTCTCCTTGTCCTCAGTGGCCACATTCCCTGCTGCATCAAGTAAAGGATGAAAATTATCCTTGGTTCTTCTTTTTATCGTTAATATATTTATAAAAGGATTTTTTATTGTCTTTAACTGCAGTGGCCAATCTGAGTTCAAGTTGGGCTTTTGCCTTCCTCACTTCCTCCCTGCATATCTTAGCTACTTCCCTGTAATCTCCCCAGAGGACATAGACTCTCTTTTTCTCCCAGAGTCTCAACAGTAGTTCCCGGTTCATCCACACCAGTCGTCTTCCCCTACGGCTCGTTTTATGGCACCTGGGGACAGCCTGTTCTTGCACCTTTAAGATTTCCATCTTGAGGAGCGTCCAGGCTTTCTGGACCCCTTTACCCTTAAGAAGCAGCTCCCAAGGGACTTGTGCTACAAGCGCCCTGAACAGATCAAAGTCCGCTCTCTGGAAGCTCAAGAAAGTAGTTTTGCTTGTCACTCTTTTGACATCTCCAAGAATAGAGAATTCTACAGTTCCATGGTTGCTCTGCCCAAGATGGTCCCCAACCTTCACTTCTCCCACCCGTCCTTCTCTGTTAGTGAAGACCAGTCTAGCAGGGCACCACCCCTGATAGGCTCTCCTGCCAGTTGCATAAGGAAACTATCTTCCACATAGTCAAGAAACCTCCTGGACTACTTCCTGTGTGCTGTATTATACTTCCAACATATATCAGGGAATTTGAAGTCTCCCATGAGAACAAATGCTGGCGAACGCGTGACTTCCGCGAGCTGTTCATAGAATGCTTCATCCAATTCTTCATCCTGATTAGGCAGTCTATAGCAGTCCCCCACCAAGATGTCGCCCCTACAGGCCTTCCCCCTGATCCTTACCCATGGACACTCAAATCTGTTATTCCCAACCCCAAGCTCTTCAACATCAAAACAGTCTTCAGTATAAAAGGCCACACCACCACCCTTCTTTCCACGGCTATCCCTTCTGAAGATCTTGTAGCCATCTATCACAGCACTCCAGTCATGGGAGTGGTCCCACCATGTTTCGGTAATAGCAACAAGGTCATAATTAGCCTGACTCACAATCGCTTCCAACTCTTCCTGCTTCCAACTCTTCTTCGCTTCCAACTCTTCCTTCTTAGTTGCTTATGTTAAGCAAGATTAATAGAACATAATTATAGCAACCAGCAGGGATATAATTTCAAGCCATACAACAAGATATCAAACAGAGGAGATGGAATGGAAAGTTTATTGTTGAATTGTTGAATGGAATTTTTTGACTACAATCAGTCTTTTGCAATCACTCCTTTTAAAAGAATGTGTCTTCATGAATCATGACCCATGCTAGGCTCAGAGGCAACAATTCCAGTTTCTAAACAGAAATCTCAGAATGTCCCCACGGTTAGCAGACATGACATGAGAAACAACACGAGATAAACAGTAAGTCTATGAATGCTGCCATCAGTGTTTGTAAATGTACATAAAAATTTCCGTGTGAATTATGAATAGGCCTTTTCTCCCATTTTTTAACTGGGAATGCATTTGGCATATCTCTAAGTCTGGGGATTATAAGATTTGTCCTTCTCCCTTTTATCATTTAATTAATTTGTTAAGTAATATGCTTATGCTGTCTCTTTCTCCGACTCATACATAATACTGAAATATTTGAGGTACAGTTCTGGAAGTTAAACGTGTACTTGTTTTCTAAGTATTCTACTCCAAGTGAAGACTTCAGTCCAATGGAAGCGTAACCTTCCAAAGTAAACAGTGAACTTATTGAGCTTAATTGGAGATGACATTTGCTTAATCCTCTGAAAATCCTTACAATTCCAGTGCCCAAGAGAGCCCCCCAAAAAAGGAAAAAGAATATCCCTCTAAGTGTCAGTTGTACTTCACATCAGAATGGTTTGAGTCAATTATCATTCCCTGAAGACAGCTCTAGTACCATATCACTTGTAAAGCTTGATCTCTGGTTGCTTTTTTGAGCTGCCTTTTTAGTATACTTCATTACAGCCACTCTAAATACTGTTTGCTAAGAAGCTCAGTATCAGTGATGCAGTTCTCCGCCAAGCAGGAATACAATATTTTAGGAGCAGGAATGAACAAAGGAGGGAGACAACTAAGGGAACTGAATCTTCTGGCCTAATTACATAGCCTGATGTGAAGAATGTTTTGCCTCATGAGAAGAGGAAAGAGAAGCTGCACTTAAAGAGGAAATTGCTCTCTTCATCCCCATCAGCATTGTGATTACAATATGCTCATGAAAGGAGCTGCCCACTGACATGTGCTGATACCCTGATTACACCAGCAAGGATTGTGTGTTGATCTACACAAAATAAGAGCTCATTCAGTGCACTGTAGATATGTACACTCTTTTCTGATGTTCTCATCACAGGTTCAGGCAGTGCACCACAACTCAAATCCTAGTTTTGACTGAGTACTTCTGTGATTCAAGGTGAAAAGCCTTAAATTCTTGTATTTCATACTCACGGTAATCCTCTGCAGCAACTTTGGGGGCAGTAATAATGTAGACAGTTCAGAACCATTTAAAATCATAAGTGATACCCTAAAAATAATCCAATTATATTTTAATGGCAATATTGGATTGGGGTTTTTTAAATTATTTTATGCTTTTGAGTCTTCAAAATTAATTACTGTAATATACTTGAGCTCTTGCTTTATTCCCTTGCAATTGTATATTTAAAACTGTGCTTTATTTGTAATGGAGCTTGATCTCTCAGCTAATAACCCACCTCTTAAAGTCATGTAAGAAGCATTTTCAGGTGCCGTATGACTTACAATGACAATGATAGTTGGGGAAGAAAAACTCAGCTTCAGCT